TGTTAAATAAAAGCAAAATTGTCGAAATCTGAACGAAATTCTTCATATCTCGGGCAATATTGAAAGCACAAAAAAGGCAGACCACATTTTGGAAATGGCAGGACAAGGGAAATTTTGTGATTATTATCTCTAGAAATTTACTTCTAAAATTAGATTGACAAATAAACGCACCCTGTACCTTAAGAATCTTAATTATTTATCCTTTATCTTGAACTGGGGATAACCCGGACTTTGCAATAAACTCTAACCATTTTTTATAAAGCATCAATTCCATCAATAGTAAAATCCTGGAGATATTTAGTGAAGAATATTTGTTTTTGTAAATCAGCTGTTTTCGTCTGCTTTGAATGAGTTGTATAGTTGTGCGCCTGCTCACACTCACACTAATACACTCAGGCGGCCATGTTGGTTACACCCGAAACAAACAGAAACTATCAAGGCTCAATTAAAAGCCTTTTTTCGTCGGAAATTTTGATAATTTTGATTTCGTTACAAAATAGAAATAATTTGGTGGAAAAACCTAACACTTCCGTGATATTTTAATATCATGAATAGATTTTATAATGATGATTTTATTGAATATTCTGGAATATAGAAAGACAGGTGAAGGAGGTGAAGAAACGAAGCAGCTTCGGTATTATCATAAAATCTATTTCTAGGCCCATACTTATATATTGATTTATAAATGTACAGAAAACAAGAAATTAGAAAATTAGTCTGAATTGATGAATATTTTGTGAGTCACCCTCTCCTCCGGTTCAGAAGCTATTTTTTTCTTCTAAAAATACCTTTTTTTTTGAAAATGAAAAGTATTGCGTTATTTGAGTTAAATCCTATTTCCATCTCGAATATACAAAATTTCTAGGTGATAATATATAATTCGGGTTGGATCCTATCTAAAAATAACATTTTTTTAATAGCAATTTATCAAAATTTAAATTAAAGAAATTTTCAATTTGAACTAGAATTTGAACTTGAAATTTTAATTAATTAAGTTTTATATTCTTACTAGTTTGGGAAACCAGCTATGATTGGTAATTTGGTAATTTCCTATAGTACGATTTTTGGAGGCTAATTTTTGAAATTTTGATCATCCTCAAACCTTCCCTGGGTTCATGTAAATAGATTGACATAGTTCAGATAAATGATGTAACCTAGCTAAACCATATATATGTGAATAATGTTTAAAAACTGATTTTCAAAGTTAAACTAAAACTCAACCAACCAGTGAATTAATGATACATTTCATATAAGCTTGATTTTTAGAAGCAAACTATTCATTTTCTGTTCAGAAGCAAACTATTCATATTCTGTTTAGAAGCAAACTATTCATATTCTGTTTAGAAGCAAACTATTCATATTCTGTTTAGAAGCAAACTATTCATATTCTGTTTAGAAGCAAACTATTCATATTCTGTTTTTTTCTATTTTTTACTTTCTCTCATAATGGAAATTCTCAGCTTCAGTTTTAGACGAAAAGTCTCCTTTTTTCAGCCATTTTTTTAATCCATTTTTTCATCAGACGAAAAGTTATTTTTTTTAGGTTTTTTCTCACTTTTTCCTATTATTAATTAATGTATTCAAATGATTAGTCAGTCCACGGCAACTACGTTTGCAAATAGTTTTTTTCCCAATTGCAGTTTGTGTCCATGTTTGCCGTTTTTTTAAGATAAAAAGTCTGCAACTACGTTTGCAAAATTATTCTATCTCATATCCATTATATTTTAATCATAGGAGAGCTCTGCGAAAAGCAACTCAAAACTAGTTGCGAAATGATTCTACATTTGGAGATATTTTCTCTCCACAAATTGTCGCAATAAAGTTGTTCAGTAGAGGAGGAAGAATGATTTATCAACTTTATATCGTCTGCATTATATAATAATCTGATTAAAATCTTTTTTTCAGGTATTTGAAAGATGTCTGGAAATTGTGATATATTCTAGAATATATAAGAAGTGAAAGAACTGATGAAGGTTTAATCTTGGCCTAGACAAATAGACAATTTGAAGTATTGGAAGATGGCGGCCATGGCTTCATTGGACGATATTGATCTCGCAGCTCTTAAGGTATTATTAACCCTTGCAACCGAAGCTGCTAGTGGCTACGTTGGGAGGGGGAGATACCAATGTATAATATAGACTCAGTCATAGCTAAATATTTATATCCTGAATATTAAAATTTAACATGGCTAATGACATATTTTGGGGGTGGTAACTATGTTCAACGCTCTGATTTTTGCTACCTTAAATTTCATTTAATATGATAATCCGATACAATTTTTGCTAAACCCCCTAGACGGAAAAAAATCAATTCCCCCCTTGGACAATTCCTGAATCCGCCCCCGCCCCCCCCCCCCTCACCACTAAGCGTTAATAATTGAACAACTCGCTTCATGATAATAAAAAAACGTCATAAACACTAATTTTATTATGTAGATATGAACTTCTTGATCCAGCAAACTTTTCATTATCTATGTGTCATCTAGTTAAAAACTATTACTGGATAATCTGTGTAATATGATATATCTTCTTCATAATGATAATTTGTATTAATATATTGTTAATGTTAAATGTTATTTCTTTCCCAAGCTCTTTGTAAAGCTGGTAAAAGCTGTAAATATTGATGAAGATATTTATTCGTATTGACAATATTGGACAAGAAAGTAGTTAAAATGTTCTTTATTTTATCCAAAATATGCAATTAAAGAACAAATTGTTGCCTTTTGTAATAAAAGTGATCGTAACATTTATTACGATATTTAAACGAAGATTAAATCTATGCCCCTTTTGGTATTCTTTTTATGATATTAATTTGTTCAGGATCCTGCGGGTATATTTGATCTAATTGAGGTTGTAGGGAATGGCACTTATGGACAGGTTTATAAAGGTACAAAGATTAATATTTTTATTCAGTGCGGAGAGAGGGAGAGGTGGGAGGGGTAATTTCGATTTTTTCAGTATTTAGTTTATTTCAGTATTTGAGAAATTCATGCGATGAATTACATCATTTGTTTTATGACTTTGCAGACTTAGTAGCTAAATTTTTAAGTAATTTCAAGGAGGCGCACAGAAAAAAAGAATTTGTTCTTTAAAAAAAGATATAACACAAAAAAATTCGTAATCTAACAAAAAATCGTGGAAAAAACTGATAGGTTTAAAACAAAAACATAATCTTACATTAAGTACTAGTGTATGCATTTGTGACCCCTAAAAATAGTAATTGAAGCTAAGCGTTACCTAGTAAAAAAGTTTATCCCTTTGATTAATTTGAGTATTAAAATTTTTAATATTTTAAATTATAGGACGGCATACAAAGACAGGACAGTTAGCTGCCATTAAAGGTAAGGTCATCTATTATTAACAATATATATTTTCTTCAATTAAATAAAATTAATGATAAACAAATAGATGTTCATGGATAATATTTAGTTAAAAATAAATGTATGTAAGTAGTTATGGACGAACTAATTAATTTTCCTAATACCTATTTTTATGTGGGGGAAACTTTAATTTATCAATGTTTATTCAAAGTTTATCTATGAATGAATATCTAGTTCTGGATGACTATTTTGCTATGGATAAATATTTACTTATGGATGAAATTATATTCATGGATGGATGAATATATATTTATAAATGAAAACTTAATTTATGAATGAATATTTAGTAATGGATGTTACTGAGGACGAGGAGGAAGAGATTAAGCTTGAAATAAACGTCCTGAAAAAATACAGCCATCACAGAAACATTGCAACTTATTACGGGGCGTTTATAAAGAAATCACCACCGGGCAAGGTACAGAAAACCCTGACAATGAACCACAATGGCTATCTATCTTGAGAATAAAAATCGCTAATGGTTGAATAATAATTAAACACAAATCTTAAATTTAACTTTTCCCATTGATCCTTATTGAAAAAAATATTTTGAAAGAAAATTTAAATATGTTGAAAATCTGAAAATTGAAACAAGTTCATAAAGCTCATTGATTTTATCACTGGAAATCCAAGTAATATTGTTTAGGATGATCAACTTTGGCTTGTAATGGAATATTGTGGAGCAGGAAGCGTCACAGATTTAGGTACATTTTTATCTTTAAACTGAACCAGATTTAGGTACATTTTTATCTTTAAACTGAACCAGATTTAGGTACATTTTTATCTTCAAACAGAAAAAGATTTTGAAGAAAAACAGAAGCAGTCAAGATGATGGTTTATGAATGAGAAATAAATTGTTTATTATTTAGTGAAATCTATCAAAGGGCAGAGTCTCAAGGAGGATTGGATCGCATACATCTCGAGGTTAAATAATTTATTAATTTCTAGCAAGAGTGCCCGGCGTTTCCCGTAAAAAAAATATTCCAAATTCTAAAGAAAAAAAAATTATTTTAAAGAAAAAAAATTGATTTTAATAAATTCTCTTTTTTCCTATTATGTTACCCGCAGGGTACCCATGGGTTCTCTCAAAAAAGTTCAGCCGTTTGGCGAGCTATAGATGAGCGAAGAGCCTGTTTTTTACAGACTAGTGCTGAGTTGTGACTACAGCCTACCCTCTGTTTGTCGTAGCTCACAGCAATCCTAGCATTTTATCATTTAATTTAATTTGAAGGGCTATATTTTGTGTATCCTTCAAGAACACTTTCCCTGTATCCTCGAAGGGGGTATAACTATATATCATGCTATAATCCTCCCCAGCCCTTTTTTTCCCGCAATATGATCTCTGTACCCTCCTAGTATTCCTGTATCATTGCATTTCTGCATTCATGTATCCTTGTATCTTTATATTCTTGTTTCCTTGATCCCTGTTTCCCTTTATTCCTGTTTCCCTTGATTCCTGTTTCCCTTGATTTCTGTTGCCCTTGATTCCTGTTTCCCTTGATTCCTGTTTCCCTTGATTCCTGTTTCCCTTGATTCCTGTTTCCTTAACTTCGTTGAAAAGGGGGGAGAGTGTTAGTTTCTTTACTAAGGAGAGGATCCTCATTGAAGATATTGAATTGATAAATTTATTTTTCCTAGAATTCTAATTCAATAAATCTTAAGATTAAGTATTAACTTGAAACCTTCACTAGTAAGCATTCGAGATATTTTTGTATGTTAAGAATAAAAATCGTAAAAAAATATTAAGAGAAATTATTAAATTCATTTAGCGATGCTTTGAGCGTTATCAATTTAATGACGCCCGTGGGGAGGTGGAACTAACTTTAAAATTTGACGCATTTATTAAAGTTCTAAGCATTGTTGATAAATCATTTTCAGAAACTCTACAATAATATTCCATCGATTTATTTGCAAATAAAGTAATCGTTTTATTCTATTTTGTACGCCCGTATTCTGAAATGATTACACTTAATTTCTTAAATCTGTTCTCGTTATTAATTATTGACGCATCTAGGGAGGTTCTACGCGGATTGACGCATCTACACGCATGTAAAGTTATACACCGAGATATTAAGGGACAGAATGTGCTTCTAACAGACAATGCTGAGGTAAAAATATTTACCCGGATATTTTCAACAAGAGTCCAACATTTTTTCTAATTCTCATTCTTCAGGCTCTAGCCGCTATTCACAGTTTGGGCGGAGATTAATTATTGACCAAATTTCTCCCATCCTGGTCTAAATATAATAAAAAAAAACATACTTTTCAAATATTATTTTCGTTCGTGAGCTATTCTTATTTCAATAATTAAGAATTTGGGAAAATTATCCGCAACAGAACCTTAAATATTACAATAAAAGTATAAAACGTTGGAAATGTTATAAATTTTCTCTTAAGGTGAAGCTTGTTGATTTTGGAGTTTCAGCTCAGCTAGACAGAACTATTGGGAGAAGGTTTTTTTTTCTATTTTAATAAAAGATATATTTCAAACACAGAAGTATTTAATATTCATATTTGTTTGGTGTTTGATCGTACTGTTTCATGCTTGTTTACATTTTTATTATTTACTTGTACCCCCAGGAATACGTTTATTGGTACACCGTACTGGATGGCTCCTGAGGTTATAGTTTGCGATGATAACCCTGACGCAACATACGATAACAGGTTAGATGATTGATTGATTGGTTGAAAATAATTCAATTAATGGTCTTGGATTGATAGTTTGATTAAGTTGTTGCTAAGAAATTGGATTAGTTGGGTGACTGACTCACTGACTGACTGACTGACTGACTGACTGACTGACTGATTTTTTGATTGGTTGATTGATTGATTGATCGATTAGGAGTGATCTATGGAGTCTGGGAATCACGGCAATAGAGATGGCTGAGGCCCAACCCCCACTCTGTGATATGCATCCTATGCGGGCTCTCTTCCTTATACCGAGGTAGGTTATTAAACTAAAGCATAAACTGTGGAGCATAAATCTTCTGAAGTTAGATGAATTAAATTACAAAGTTTTATATATTTTGATACATTACGTTTTTAATGAAGTGCTTTTTACCGTCATTTATTTTACAGAATATTTTCTTAAATATTTTTTTTATTCAGGAACCCTCCTCCTCGACTGAAGTCCAGAAAATGGTCGTCTAAATTCAAGAATTTTATTGAAACATCTCTAGTGAAAGATTATCACCAACGGCCATATACAGACGAACTTCTCAAACATCCCTTCGTCCGAGATCAACCAACAGAACGTCAGGTAATAACCAGATCTTCCAGACACCCACCAGAAATTGAAGGGACAACATTTTTGCAAGAGTAATTTTTGCTAAACCTTGTGTCATTTTTGCCTCATGACTTTTTTATGTGCGATTAACTTCCCTAGCGTCTCCTAGTCACTGCGCTCAGCCCCCTAGCTTGTTCTGGTTTTAATGTTGCAGCAGCTCAAAAGACCTATCCTTACCAGTTACCTCAAATAATGGGATTGGGATGTTTTTGTAAAGAAAAAAATGGCGTATAACAGAACATGGGTATATTGTAAATACCCGTTAAAACATTAATATTTACTTTTTTAATTGCGGAACGATTGATATTTTATTGTCAGGCCTGTGGCCTTCGTTAAAGAATACATCAAAATTATTTCATCTCGTTTTAGAATTTCCATTTTTACGTTTTTTTCGTTTTCTTAATATATTTTTTATTTTTTCATATTTTTTTCATATTTATTTTCATTCATTTTTCCATTCATCCTTATATCTTTTTTTCTTTATCAGATTCCTTTATTCCTCCAATCTGCTAATGTGAGAGAAAAGAGGGGGGTGGGGTGAGACATTTCCACTTATTTTTACTAAAACTAAACAAGAACTGCAGGGGTTTATAATTTTCAGAATCACACAAAAAGAAAAGTTTTTTCATCCTTTTTGATAAAATTCTGTTATTTCCTCCTAAAATTCTGTTATTTCCTCCTAAAATTCTGTTATTTCCTCCTAAAATTCAGTTATTTCGTCCTAAATTTCTGTTATTTCCTCCAAAAAATTCTGTTATTTTCTCCTAAAATTCTGTTATTTCCTCCTAAAATTCAGTTATTTCCTCCTAAAATTCTGTTATTTCCTCCTAAAATTCTGTTATTTCCTCCTAAAATTCTGTTATTTCCTCCTAAAATTCAGTTATTTCCTCCTAAAATTCAGTTACTTCCTCCTAAAAATCATTTATTTATAAATAAGAACCCTGACTTCTGGGGTGGGCGAAATGTTTTTCTAAGAGAAAATATACACTCCTGAAGAACGGGTTTTATTGTTCTAGACTCTTCTATTTCAATTGCGAACATTTACTCATTGTATACATTGTAAAACATAAACAAAGAAGTTTGCGGATTTTACTAAACAAATCGTCGATTTTCAAAATTTAATGAATATCTAATTTCTTTGGAGGCTAAGTTTTAGAATTTTGATCATCATATACCTTCCTCCATGTCACGTGAGGTCCCACACAAAATTTGAGCCCGATCAGTTCAGCCGTTATGACGTTTATTGGATACAAACAGACGAAAAGAGAAGCAAAGTATAAATAGATATATTGAAGATAGAAGATAGATAAAGAAGAAACATATTAAGATTATAAAGTTTTTTAATTCGTGTTTTTGAAATTACAATAAAGTGAGCAGCCATAATTCTTCTCAATAAATTGGTAACTGTTCTTACATTACTGTTTCATTCTCATTAGATAAAGGATATAAAATTGTGAATTAATGACTTCTGTTTATTTCCCTGAATCAAGGTTGTTTTATCTAGGTGAGGATTCAGCTGAAGGATCACCTGGACAGAATGAAGAAACACAAGGCACAGAAGGAGAGAGAGGAGGCGGAGTTCCAGTATTCATGTTATCCATGGTTAATGTCTAGGAATACATATCTCTTGTTATCTATGGTTTATGTCTAGGAATATATATATATCTATTATCATCTATGGTTAATGTTTAGGATCTGAGGATGAAGCCCTGCCTGAGACAGATGAAAGAGCAGGGGAACCATCTTCTATCCTACAGGTAACTGAATATACATGGATTAATTGATCTCGAGTACAAAATAGAATATATTTTTATAAGAAGCATATCTTTACTTGGTACGAACTAGGAACTAATTAGTATTTTACATTTATTCATTTTTCTTCCCACATTTCAGCTTCTTTAAAGAAGACGATTATTATTCTAGGCACCAGGGGATAATACTCTTCGTAAAAACTTCCAGATTATCCAGGATAGTTCTAAAGCAGCCGCTAATGCAGCTATAAATAAGAACTCACCAGCGAATAAGGTAAAATATTTTCAATTCAATCCCCGAATATTTTTGAAAAACATAATTATCATTTCCAGTCCCAGGGAATAATTTCCCCCATGCCTCATTGTATTTTAAGGGGCCGGGCATATATTTTTAAGAATTTGATACTCTCTGGCTGGGATGAGAGGGGATGAGTTTATCCTTATATGATTCCTTTAACAAATAATCATTTTTCCTCTATTCAACGAATAAAACTTTGGAAATATCTGACATCTGTGAACAATATTATTGTTTTTAAAGAGGTCTGTGTTATTTTAAAATTTTAAAAAATGACTAATCCTGGAAATTAAAATTGCAGGAGAAGGAACGAAGATCAAGTAGAAGAGAAGAAGTTCCTCCTCCAGCTCCTCGTCTTCCTGTACCCAACCCCTCATCTAGCTCTAGTACTCCTCCAGGACCTCCGCCACAGCGCCCTTTACCTCCGCCACCAAACGGAGCAGCGGATAATATCCGAAGAGACCAGGGCAGTAAACCAAATACTCCTCCCTCTAGGTAAAGTCATTATTAATATTGTATGGCTATACTTTCGGGGTTCATCTGCACCCAGGGGATGCTTTGGGTGGAAAGGGGGGGGCGTCCCCCTACCTCGAAAATTGGGGGGACGTCCCCTTCCCTGGAAAATTTGGGAAACGTCCCCCTGGAAAAATTAAAGAAGCAAGATGAGAGAACAGGTGTTGGGCTTCATTGCACGAAAGATTTATTGACTACTACTTGTCGCAGGCTTTACGGACTAATATATCATTTGTGGTAGATTTCACTAGATAAAATATCTATCTATCCCTGTATGATATATATTTATCAATATCTATCCCTATTTAATATCTGTATATCTATCCATAAAATATCTATCTCTCCCTATTGAATATATATCTAACCCAATCCATAAAATATCTATCTATCCCTGTAAAATATCTCTCTATCTAGGGATCAGAACCGGAACTCCCGTTTGATATCTGCTCCTGGAGCAGGTGGACCTGGTAAGAAGCCGACTGATCAGCTTGATGAGCTCGCTAAACAGCTTCAAGATCTAGTTCCTTCTCCAGGTATACAAACATACTTCCTTCTCCAGGTATACAAACATACTTCCTTCTCTAGGCATACAAATATACTTCCTTCTCTAGGCATACAAATATACATCCTTCTCTAGGTATACAAATATACATCCTTCTCTAGTTATACAAACATACATCCTTCTCCAGGTATACAAACATACTTCCTTCTCCAGGTATACAAACATACATCCTTCTCCAGGTATACAAACATGCATCCTTCTCCAGGTATACAAACATGCATCCATCTCCAGGTATACAAACATGCATCCTTCTCTAGGTATACAAATATACATCCTTCTCCAGGTAAACAAATATACATCCTTCTCCAGGTATACAAATATACATCCTTCTCCAGGTATACAAATATACATCCTTCTCCAGGTATACAAACATACATCCTCTCCAGGTATACAAATATACATCCTTCTCTAGGTATACAAATATACATCCTTCTCCAGGTAAACAAATATACATCCTTCTCCAGGTATACAAACATACATCCTTCTCCAGGTATGCAAACATACATCCTTCTCCAGGTATACAAACATACATCCTTCTCCAGGTATACAAACATACATCCTTCTCCAGGTATACAAACATACTTCCTTCTCTAGGCATACAAATATACTTCCTTCTCTAGGCATACAAATATTCCTTCTCCAGGTATACAAACATACATCCTTCTCCAGGTATACAAACATACTTCCTTCTCCAGGTATACAAACATGCATCCATCTCCAGGTTTACACACATTCATCCTTCTCCAGGTATACAAACATACATTCTTCTCCAGGTATACAAACATACATCCTTCTCCAGGTATGCATGAAGCCCTGATCAGTGATACTTTCAATCCGTCATATTTTGGTTATTCTCTGTATAATTTCTGAAAACTATCTCACACTCAATCCCATTGTTGTCCTTTCAGAAAAGGTGTTAAATCATATTGGTATTAGGACCTGCCCGTGCTGACCGGCGGCCAGCAGACCGGCAACGTGTTCCTAGTTCTCAGCAACCAGTGTCTCCAGATCTTGTTGAAGACGATTCATCAGACGACGAGGGTCCTATACTCAAAGGTTGGAAACTACTTTTGAAATAACAAAATTTTATAAAACTATTATTTTCTAAACTTCAGTTATGGAACCTTATATCGTTAAAAAGAAATAACTTTGATAATAAATAAAATTGTTTGTTATCTATACCGTAGTGTGTGTCTTACTTTTCAGCTAGTACCATAATTGTGGAGCCTGACTAAAGTTATGATTATGGTCTCTTAAAAGAAAAGGGGGGGGGATTTTGTCCCCTTTTTTCATACTTTTATCCTTATTTTAATTACGTTCCACAACATCTCTCTTTGAAAAATCTCACCGTGCAAACACCATTATATGTCTTTAGCAAACCTCATTTTATTCTGTTTAGACGGAACCATCAATGCATCAGAACGGAATCCTAAACCACTCCGAGAGTTCCTGCCCCACAGGAGCTCCGGAGCAGGAGGAGCTGGAGTTGGAGGAGTTGGAGCTCCACAGGAGCATAGAGTTAGTAGTGTTGGTGTACCAGCTAAAGGTCCCAGCAGACCTCTTCCCCCGACACCCGACGACGACGACACCATGCGCCGAGGCGGTAACTCTCCAGCCATCCGGACAAATATGCCGGATCTACTCCCCCAGACTCCGTCAACCACCTCCGGTCCTCCCACTCCCTTGTCTAGAGGAAGTCAGGACTCCCCAGGACTCCAGGGGGGAAACCATCCTCCTACTGCAGCAGAGATTCAACAGAGAGAGAAGAGTTTTCTTTCCTTTGGGTTTGGAGCAGGAGGTAGGATACAGTATATTACAGGATGGGAGCAGGAGGTAGGATACAGTATATTACAGGATGAGAGCAGGAGGTTGGATACAGTATATTACAGGATGGGAGCAAGAGGTAGGATACAGTATATTACAGGGTGGGAGCAGGAGGTAGGATACAGTATATTACAGGGTGGGAGCAGGAGGTAGGATACAGTATATTATTACTCTACCGTTAATTGTATGTAATCTAGGTACTGGGGTTGGTGAAAGTAGCAGTAATATAAACCCCAGACGAGAGTCTCATATAAATGTTAATGTTGCTCCACCTCATGAGTTTGGGACAGATACACCAGAAATCAGGTTTAATATTCATGCAATATTTTAACTTTTAGTTTTTAATTAATGCCTATCATTATTATTATTATTATTTAAAAGTAGATTTCTTGAAATAAGGGACGAGACAGAAGGAATATACTTTATGTAAAATTAATTTAATACAAGCCAGCAGGGTGGCCAAAATGTACGGATTGTATGGATTGTACGGAATGTACGAAATGTACGGATAATGTCTCAAATTAAACGGATTTTCAAGATTTTTAGCCCGAAAACATAATTTTTTTCTATTTTGACTCAATAAAAAACTAATTTTTGCAATGAACATTTTTTAAAAAAAGTCGTCAAAATGAAGTTCAACTTATTATCCTCATTCTGAATAATATTAGGTTGATTGTTGTTTCAATTGAAAATCCTAATTCATTCTTTCATCTTTTCGAGAATATGTTCCAAAAGTGTTCATTCGAGAATATGTTCCAGAACTGGTGTCCCACTAAAAAACTTTGCAGTTGGGGTATTTGATACTTAACAAAAATATTTTGTTAAACTTTCACAATCAAGATGTCATTGAAACGAAAAAAAATGTTCAGTTATTTCCAGGTTTTTAAAATGTATTATTTTATCGTGATTTTTTTATCTGGCTTTATCATCTTTTTCATCTGTACACTGCACAGTGCAGTCATTTTTGTTTTAGATAAATTTTAAATCAATGTAAGCTCGTCTTTGGTCACATACGAACACAAAGGAAAATGAATGAGAAATTAAATGTTTTTGCGTTGATTTTTTTTTCAAAATATTTTTGTTCCCTACGGATTGTACGGATTGTACGGATTTTTTTTTTATAAATGTACGGATTGAACTTTTTTCTGAAAATGTACGGATTTTTGGACGGATTTTTCTCAAAGTTTTGGCCACCCTGCATGTGTTCTCTGGCTGTTGGCACTAAGAGCGCAGCAAAAACTAGAAACCTTTTTGTCAGAGAGAACACTGGCCTGGTCAGATAGACAACATTTGGCAAGGGGGGGTTATTTACTTTAATAATATTTTAAGAATTTTAAGTGGGGGGGGGGGGAATTCTTAAGATTGAGGGAAGAAAAAAAACTTGACAGGGATGTCGTTGCGCGCTTTAACAACAATTTTTACTCAAATTCTGTTCTTTCAATTTAGTAGTTACGCAAAACTTAAAACATAAATTGGTAATCCGTGCAAATATTCCGAACATTAAGCGATGATTATAAAGAGAGGGAATGAATTTTTAAAACTTTTTTGAGCGTAGAGAATGCAGTATCTTCTTGAAAGAAATACCGTGTTTTATTGTATCATTTCATTATATTATGCCAGGAATTGAATTTACTTTACTAATATTTACTGTTAAGGAAATACAAGAAGAGATTTAATTCTGAAATCCTGTGTGCTGCCCTATGGGGGGTTAATCTTCTTATTGGAACAGAAAACGGTTTAATGCTTCTAGACAGATCAGGACAAGGTTAGTAAAGGGATAATATACTTCTAGATAGATCAGAACAAGGTTAGTCAAGCGATAATATACTTCTAGGATATACTTCTAGATAGATCAGGACAAGGTTAGTCAAGCGATAATATACTTCTAGATATATCATGACAAGGTTAGCCAAGGGATAATATTCTTCTAGATAGATCAGGACAAGGTTAGTCAAGGGNCCGGGGGGGGGGGGCAGCGCCTGTAGGGGCCTGAAACCCCCGAAAACCCAAATATTTAACTGGTCCAGGGGGGGGCTGAGCCCTCATAGCCCCCCCCCTGAATTCGCCTCTGGTCCAGGTGACCGTTAGTATGCAGTGGGAAGCTGGCTTCGGTCCCTGGCCAGTGTCACTAGACTAGTATCATCAATTAACTGTTTCATTAATTTCCGTCCCTTGGCGGTTATTATTGAAGGGGTCCAGCCTTGATTTTCACGCAATGATAGTAGATTTTTTTATTTATTTGTTTATGTTTAGGTAAAGTGTATCAGTTGATATCTAGACGAAGGTTTCAGCAGATGGAGGTGCTGGAGGGACAAAACATACTGGTTACCATCTCAGGTAGTTCAATACACCTAATTTTAGAAATATGGAAGTCAATATTTACGAATATCTAGCACATAAAATGTAAATGTTGAAATTTAGAACATCTTTTTTTTGAGGTCGATTAAAAAAAATTCAAATATTCTTAGTTTTAGATAAAAAGTATATTTTATTGGCGCTGTTTTTAAATTTCATGGAGAAACAACTCTTTAGTTAAAGAAATGTTGACTATTTTCGGTTTAAAAAAATTGGCGCGTAAAAAATGTATAAATATTGAATATTGTAGGAAAGAAGAATCGTGTGCGCGTATACTACCTCTCCTGGCTAAAATCCAAGATTCTGCGCACTGACACCAATATTGAGCGCAAAGCTGGCTGGATAAATGTTGGTGATCTGGCGAGCGCGGTACATTTCAAGATTGTCAAGTACGAGCGGATAAAATTCCTGGTGATCGCGCTGCGCGACTCTATAGAAATCTACGCCTGGGCGCCTAAACCTTATCATAAATTCATGGCCTTCAAAACATTTTCAGGTGAATACTTTTACAAGGGTAAAAAAAAATTATATATTATCGTGTCATTTTTATTTTCAGAGCTTTTTGGGAAAAGTGACTTCCGGCATTTTTTTGTCTCTTTAAGTTCAATTTCCCAATTATCAAATTAGCACATAAACATACGGGGTATCTTAATTTCCGAATGGAATGTATATTGACGACTTTTGGATACTCCTAGACCCTCTTGTAATTTTATAAAACTTTTTTAAAATCACCAGTATGTTGAAACATGGTAATTTTGTTTTTTTTTACTATCCTAATTCAAACAAGATTATCGACTACCTTGTCAACTAATTCTTTTTCGGAGAAACCGTGTAAATTAATTTAATATTTAAGAAAATATTAAATACTATTATTTCTTCTACTTCAATTGTGAACATTTTCTCTTTGTACACATTGTAAAACGAAAAAAAAAACAAATTTCGCGGATTTAAAAAAAAATAATGGATTGCCAAAATTTTCAAAAATCAAATCTTGTTGGAGGCAAACTTTTAATAATTTGATTATCCATAAACCTTCCCTCGGGTCACGTGAGATCCCACAAACAATTTGGGCCCGATCGATTAACCGTTTTGCCATTTAAAGGACAGAAACAAACAAATAGACAGACAGACAGACAAGCAAAGTTGAAGGACACAAACAAACAGACAGACAGACCGAGAAGCAAAGTATATATTTAGATTAAGCATAATGGTGGCCCTTAATTCTAGCTAAGCTATGTAATTGATCTATTTTGCTTCATTTCAAGATAATATCATTTCTTATCATTTAATTGTTAGATTTACACAAAAAAGTTGTAAATATTTCTTGGGTCGGTAATTGAGTAATCTTTTAAAAAAATGTTGATAAAATAGAAATTAAATTTTTGTGTTGAATACTTCTCTTTTTAAATATACATATAATGTATACATATACATAGTTTAATATTTTATTTTTTTTGCAGAGTTGCAATACAAGCCCTTGCTAGTTGATCTAACTGTAGAGGAAGGAACAAGACTAAAAGTTCTCTATGGATCATGTTCAGGATTCCATGCTGTTGATCTAGATAGTGCCAGGTACTCAATATATATATATGATTAATTATATTAGGAGTAAACTTTTATCTGGATTCATTTTAGAATCAAAAACAAGGTAAGGTAAGGACAATAGTGAATTTTATAATCAGAATACACCAAATTCGGTATTTTACAATGAACTCATTTTCGGAGGCTACAAGTGTATACTGGTTGTTTATAAACAAACTCAACCGAAACTAGACTTGAACCGAAATATGAATTGAACCCAGTATTCAAACCTTCTTAGCCGCAGTCCAGTGTTATAAATTTACACGTATAAATATAAAATGGAACTAGGTTAATTAATTAATTATTTAGAAATATTTATCAAAAACCCTACCCTTCTAAACTGTAAATTATTGTCTCGACATACGCCTAATTAAATTGAATGTAAACAGACTGTTAAACCAGTTTTTAGCCACCGAAACTGAGTTCATAGTAAATTCCAGAATAAATGTGTGTACTGTAAATATATTCTCTAATGGCCTACCCTTGATCAAAAAGATATTCTTCAAGAACATATTAATAAATGTTTTTTACACTAATTAAAAGTGGCCGTCACAAATTAAAAATTATCTTTTTTTTTAAACCCGGTGTATGGAAATCTTTTCAATTTGCGTTCCAAACTTTTCATTGTACGTTGACTAGTAATTTTTTCCTTACATTTATTATCATTAAACCTCATTTAAGACCCATTCACTGTGTAGTGTGTATGTTATCAATTATTCATATTTTAGTGTGTATGATATCCATATACCGAAGCACCCCCAGGGTCCTATTGCCCCCCACACTATCGTGACCCTACCCAACTCTAACGGTATGCAGTTACTGCTCTGCTACGACAACGAGGGGGTTTATGTCAACACATATGGCAAGGTAAAAAATCTTAAATAATATTTTTATCATTACTATCTTCTTCAGTCCATTATTAAGAAAATTTTTGCTTTTGTTGCTTCTCAAGTCGGTTTTTTTTTCATCCTGTTATAAACAAAAATTTGCGCAGATTTTCCTGTTTAATTGAATTTTTAGAATTGTAAAATTTGCCTTTTTCCGGGCAAACCTTACCTGGTGTCAGGGGTAATAATTTCACGAAAACCATCGCCATTTTTTTTATCTTGAAAAAAGAATTAAAATATAACATCAAGTGGCAAGTTTTTTCATCCCTTTAAACATATAAACCAAAGAATTTATTTATTTCCCCTGAGAATACACACTTTCTTTTANATATTGACCCCTGGAGTTGCCACACCAAAAGGGTGAGATCGGTCCAGTCGTTATGTGAGTTTGATTGCATTTAATTGTAGATTGCTAAGAATATAGTGCTGCAGTGGGGAGAGCTACCGACTAGTGTAGCGTATATAGGAACAGGGCAGATTATGGGTTGGGGAAACAAGGCCATAGAAATAAGATCTGTAGAATCAGGACATCTTGACGGAGTATTCATGCATAAAAAGGTAATTAAAGAGGAGTAGTAATTATATAATGTGTATTATGGGTTGCTGAGCTTCATCCATGATTAACAGAATGAATTTCATAAAAATTAAAGAATAAGTTGGGTCCAGGGGCGGATTCCTATTTTCAGAATAGCTTCTCAATAGCATGCTTAAGGGAAAGAAACCCTAGTGCAAAACAGGAAAAATATCTGTCTTAATAAACTATAATGTTTGAAAAGTTAAAAATCATTAATTTTGACTATTTTTGAGTCTTTTAAGTCAAAAAAATTTTCGTCTACGGCGCGATTTTTTGTTCCTAATAATGAATTTTTTGTTCCTAAAATATCTTGCCCCCCCCCCCTCACTTTAATCTTGTATCCGCCCCTGGTTGGGTCCACTTAATTTTCAGAAGAAAGACGACTGTACGGATTACCATTTTTTTTGCCAATTAAAATATTTAGATTATTATTCATATTAAATCATATTTTCTCAAATTTTTTAATCTTTAAAGTCTTTTTGTTTATTAATATTAAAGAACTAAATTGGTTTAAATCAAATTTATTTCGCTCTTCAATTGGTTGGTTTAATTTGAAACCAAGTATTTTAAATGCTACTGCATGAAAATGATAAAAATATATAGAATATGTTTAATGTTTAGGCCCAGAAACTCAAGTTTTTGTGTGAACGGAATGACAAGGTGAATAATAATATTTTGAATCCAAATAAACAATAAACTAGAATTTAAAAGGAGGGGGTTAAAATCTATAACCTCAAATATATTATAATAGCTGAAGGGGCCCGTCGATTTTTTAGCCTATAACAACCTCCGGCCACCCATGAGTGTCCACAAAACATTTCAGCGTAATCGGTCCAGCCGGCTATAGGCAACATATATATATATATATATATATACGAATATATAGCTTTATTATATATATATATTTAATATGTACTCTTTTAAACATTAAAACACAGTGTCCAGCAATAACCAATCTTAATAAACAATAGAACATATTTTAAGAAGAGATATATATATATATACATATATAACACAAACTGATTAAAATGATCGAGATGATTAAAATAATTAAGAAAAGAAGATTTAAATACAAATTATTTTTCAATTTGTATTGCTCAAGTGTTTTTATACACTTTTCGGCACTCGGTAGCTGGAGGAGTTAGATTGGGGAAATAGATTTGCAAACTTGATTTGGAAATTTTGAAACCCATTCAGATTTTTTCTTTTCATATATATTTCTGGAAGTAAGTTCTCATTTCTATTTTACAGAGAAATATTCTCTGCATAATATGCTTTGAAAGTAATTCTTAGATTTTTAAATATTATTCATCCCCTCTTCCTGAATATTTTTTATTTCTGATGTCTTTTTTATTTGGATTTTTTTGAGGACAAGAATTCTATTAAGATTGTAAAGTTGCTTTTTCCCGTAATAGTGTCCTTCAATAATAATATGAAAATGCTTCAAAATCATCCCCGTTAAGGGGGGAGGGGATCATGATGATTAGAATAATTTGGTAATTTTATTTTGTTTAGGTTTTCTTCTCCTCTGCTAAAGGCGGGTCCTCCTGTCAAATATATTTTATGACTTTAAATAAACCAGGAATGGCCAACTGGTAATTTCAGTACAGAACCCGTTGTATATTTACTGATCCTGTATATTGTTACAATTTACTGATCCTGTATTTTGTACAGTACACTGTGTATACCGTACAGTACCTGACTGTACTATTTGCCAAGTCTGTGTGTTAAAACTGTACCGTGGTTTGCAGTACATGCTTCTCTGTACAACTAATGTGTAATGTATCTTGTACAAGAAGACTGAGTGTAATCCTCTTCACTAGTCTTATTCTACAAGAAAATGAAAATCTGAAACACGAATTAATTTAAACTTCTAGATTTTTCTTAATTCGTTGTTCCGTAAATCCTAATGATCTTTTCCAAATCATATTTTAGAATATCAAAACACCCCTCTGTGAGAATTTTAACAAAAAATATTTATAAACTTGTTTAGTCAATTTTTGTTTAATGTGATCCAATCCTGCTTGAGTCCCTGCCTGCTGGGACCTGTTTGGCCCCCGATGATGAAGTGTCGTCATTAACTTTTTAATCTTGGAATAAAAAAACCTATCTAAGAAAATTTTAGTAAAAATCTGACCTCCGGATCTGAACCCAATTTGGAAATTTTAGGGGATTAAGAAAAAAAAATCAAGAGGCATAACCAATTAACCTCTGTTCTCTCCTGTTTTCAGTGAATTCAGTATTTAATTAAAATTTAAATATCCTGTGTTTTTGCCTTTTCACATTTTTTTTCAAGAATATAATTTCTAATATAGTATTTTTTAAAATTTTGTAATTTGTAATTTTTTTGTAATTTGTACTCAAAAATCAGTTTTATATTTTTATAATTTACAATAATCCAACATCACTTGTTTTTTTTTCTCGAAAAAATATTGTTTTTGCCGATTATATTCCCCCTGATTATATTCCCCCTGATTATATTCCCCCTGATTATATTCCCCCTGATGCTAATTAGCAACATATGTAGCTAATCAGTATTTATATGTAAACTAGTGCTTTTTTATATAGACCTATAGATTTCATTTTCTAATAATCAATTCTAATAAAATAATTAATTGTAAACATTATTTTTTTCTCTTCGTACTTGTATCCCTAAGTTTAGAAAGGAAGTACGTTTCAATTGAACCGTTGCACACTTTGCAGATGTTGCCAACAGGGGCGGATACAGGGGCGGGGGGACATTCGCCCCCCCTGAATTTGGAATTTTTTGTTCCTATTTTCAGAATAGCTTCTCAATAGCATGCAAAGAAACCCTAGTGCAAAACAGGGAAAATATCTGTATTCACAAACTATAATGTGTGAAAAGTTAAAAATCTAGTTTTTTAGTCTTTAGTCATTTAGTCTCACTTCAATCCTGTATCCGCCCCTGGTTGCCAAGAAAAGAACAAATCTATATGTTATGAACACTTCACTCCTGTTGGACTTCAGTTCAGTCGATTATTAGACCTATTTCTTCCCCTTCAGCAGACAGGCTTGAAGGCTTCGACTAATATGCTGGAGTTGAAGACAGTTTTATCCGTAGCTACTAAATTCATAAACTGAAAATTTAAAAATGATTTTTTTAGCGCATGAGTATAAAAGCATGAATGGAGCAAATGCCAAAACCCGGAATTTTGAGCCTTTACTGATATGTTAAAAGAGGCACTTGCACAAATTTCTGCAAAAAACACTTATAGATATTTAAAACTAAAATCCAGGAAAAACCTTTTAATTCCGGAAAAAGCTTCAGGGCAATGGCAAATGAACATTTTAATCTGTTGTATAAACCTAGATGTTTAACACACCTCAAATCTATTGTCTCACTAGCGCCCCTAGCGAATAAATCTTTAAAATTTTAAAAAAAGCTTCAATGCAAATAATCATTTTAATTTGTTGTTTAAACGTAGATGTCTCACATACCTCTAATCTATTGTCTCACTAGCGCCCCTAGCTAATAAATCTTTAAAAATTTCAGAAAAAGCTTCAACGCAAATAATCATTTTAATTTTATGTTTAAACCTAGATGTCTCCCATACCTCTAATCTCACTAGCGCCCCAAGCGATAAAAAGCTTTTAAAATTTTAGGAAAAGCTCACAACTGCCATCTACTTACAATAATCAAAATAAAAGTTACGTCCTTAACCATTTTTCTTTCTGTTTGATGTTAGGTTAGGTTAGGTTATGGTGTTTTGTGATGTTTGTGTGTTGCATCCTGTATGATTTTGATATTGAACTGTGTTGATTAAAGAGTGTGAGTGCATGGAAGTTGTAAGGGTGGCTAGGTTGATGTTTAATGATCCAGATTACAGACTGAAGAGTGCCTTGAAGGATTCACTGTTTATCTAGCACCGAGCTAGGATTCGTTTTAGTCATTTAAATGTTTTAAGGTTTTCTTTTACTAGCATTTTAAACAGGCTGAGAAAACAGATTGCAGGGCGCCCTTAACAATTTGCTTTTATCCTTCAAGTTGTAAGTTTATCGTCGAAAAATATTGACAATCACAGTAAATTTCTTACGATTGTAAAAAAAGAATATGCAATTTTTTAGAATTTGTGTTGAAAGTATTACTTTAGCCTAGCTACTTTTAAAAAAAATGCTCCCCCTTAAGACCTTTCATTTACAGAATGTGGGAGACTGGCAATTTTCTAGCTTGACAAGTGTTTAATTCGGATTACCAATTGCATCTGCAGCAGAAATGCGCAAGTGGCTATTTCAGAGAAACCAACGAATTTTCAATAAGCTAAGCATGGATATCTCATCCAATTTTTAAATTGATTCGGACACATTTACAAAATATC